CGCCATTTTCCAGCGCAATATCGCGCGATTACATTTATTTGAACAAAAGGCTGAAATTTTTTTTATGAAGAAATTCACTAATCAACCTGTAATCGTGTTTCCCAAGCCATAATTCTTTACCAAGCCACAACAAATCGATCGAGATTTTCTGTCAAGTAAAACAAATACTGTACAAGCCACCAAAGATCGTTGAATATTTCAGGAAACATACAATACAAACAGTAATTTTCTCGTAATTGTTCCGATCTGTGAATTCAAAGTTTGGATCTAGTAAATTAAATTTTATATCCTAAATTAACCAGAATAGGGCTTTTTTTAGCTGGAAATACAGGCGTTGTGAGAGGCTGTGTTTCGGAAATGTGAGTCTTGACACATTCTTTGAGAGGGAAAAGAGGCTTGGAGCTTTAGAATAAGCGAAGTTACTCAGAGTTATGAAAAGGTGATCTCGCCTTCGTTCTACAAAAACTATATAAACCTTTATACCTTCACCTTTAATCATTCATATCTTCAAAGTAATTCCAAACATATCACCTATTCAAACCATCTTCATTTAATAAATACAAAGATGAAGTATCTAATGGTAATCCTTTTCACTCTTGCCGCGCTTTCCTCCATGGTATTTACCATGCCTGCGCCAGAATTGCTTCGTAGGGATCGCCAATCGATTACCGTTACTTCACCAGGAGCTGGTCCTTGGAAAAAGGGATCTCTTCAGGCTGTTAGCTGGTGGAGTACTGATATTCCCAGTGACTGTAAGTTCTCTAGGAATTTAGTGAATTGAAAAATTCATCATAGTTACTAACAATTCAAAATTTTTTATTAAATAGCCAAAGTTATTATCGAGATTACTGATAAAAGTGGAACCTCAGTCTTTAAGGACTCTGTAATGTCACACCTTTGTAAAGTTCATTCTATTTATCACCACCGCAAACTTATATCTTCTTTTAATTTCAGAAATCTGTTGGAACCGGTACCATCGGCTTCACAGTTGGCAGTGGATGGGATTCCTCAAGCGTTTACAAAGCTAAGGTCTACCTCGAAAGTGATTCCTCCGTTCTCGGCACATCCGGCGACTTCACCATTGCTGATTAGAGCAATTGCATTTTTTTCCTCTCAGTCTACATCTCATTCATACGTATTCATACCATTTCTCTGACCTTTACCTCAACGAAGTTTATCTCGTGTTCATTTTCCTTCTATCTATAATAATGTTATTTATCATATTACCGTTTCCCGCTATAACCCCCTTCACGCTAAATGTATTTTGTTCTGTAAATTTTTTCTTACTATTATTATTATTTACGTCAAATTCCTGTTTAATAAATTGATTTGAGTTTTTTAAAAAAATTTGGGGTTTGTTTTCTCAGTAATGAAGTGGATAAAGTAGATAGATACCTTGAATAAAACATCCATTGGCTAATAATTAAAATTGATCGAATCGCACTTGGATGTATTGTACAGTATTACGCGCATATGCAACTTCATTATGCATCAAAATAGGTAATGCAAATAGTCTTTAATCGTAATAAATCAACTTACGGATTATTTCTTAATCAATTAATGGCCGCATGAAATACTGTAAATGGATCGATTAAAATTACTGTATTTCGAAATTGCCTTGGATAACTTGATAGATATGGCGGTAACTCGACACGGATATTGTTTATTAGTTTTGATACATTAATCAATTTGATTATTTGATACATTATCTTCGTTTTATGTAACCTTTTCGTCTGCCAATTTATAATTCAAAGAATACATTGATTCTATAACTTCTATATAAACTCGGCATGCCCTCTCTCCAGTGTTATCCAAGGAAGTGAATATATCTTGTCTAAACATAAAAATGAAGTTCCACTACATCGTCTCCTTTACTCTTGCCACCTTAACAGTGGTAAACTCATTGCCTAACACCAATTTCCTAGCTCGGAATCCTTGCGATACAGCCGCGTGCCTTCCCAATTTTTTCCCCGCATGTGGCGGAGGCATTTGTTCCGGTCCAAAACTTATTGGGGATGCTTCGTGTTGTTCAAATACAGACTATGAATCTGCATGTTGTGACAATCATGCCCTAGAATGTTGCGATGAAAATGAACAACAAGTTGCCTTTTGCAGTCAAAACGAAAATTCAAATCTTTTGGTTTGTAAGCGCGAAGAACCTCGGGTCATCTTTCAACGATCTCCAATGTACTATAGTGCGGCCAACGAAGGAAACAATGAAGTTCAACGTGCTAATTGCTGCGATAAAGGTGTTGGTGAGTGTTCCGAACAAAGCCACCAAACACAGGTCTCGAATGAAAACGGACAAGACTTCGTGGCGGTGAACCGAAAACGATGCAAGACAGGAAACGCCGGCATGAGAGAACAAAAGAGATTATATTTAAACTCCGACTGCTGCTCCGAAAATTCCTTTTCAAAGGAGGCGATCGGTAATCATAATATGGCTGAAATGGATAATAATGAGAGCGAAATGGAAAGTTGCAATGCCTATATGAATAATCATAATGTCATTCTTCGAAGGTACTTTGACAATGGAAACCCGTATGAATCAGGTATTCCACGAAAGAGAGGATTACACCTGTTGAGACGTTCATTCCTTGGAGGTTCCGCGCCGTGTGGAAGTCCCGCACCATGCGGATTTCATGCGCCGTGTGGAAGTCCCGCACCGTGTGGATTTCATGCCCCGTGTGGGAGTCCTGCATCGTGTGAAATCCCATCAGTTGGGAATTGTTGTAGCGCCCCACATCTAATGAACCAAGGAATTCAATCCGATCAACAACTATGTCAGGCAGATTGTTGCGATCATGCTTACGAAGAACAAGATTCGAGTGGTTGTGATATGATGGGATGCA